GTCCAAATTCATATGGCAAACACGCATTGATGTATAGGATTATCACACATGATTGCACACGTCACAAATATTATTCCTAACATTCATTGTCCATGCGTTCCAATAATAGTGTTATATCTACCGTGAGTTTTTCAATACTACGAATAAGCAACTTATTGTCCTAATGGTGCGCAAATATTAAAATAATATAGATATGCATATTAAAGAAACCACAACGCAAGAATTAAAATAAAAACATAAGGTCTTGAATTAAAAACTAAGAGTCAAACAGTTTTTTCATCCATCCAATACAAAGATGTCTAGCCTAGCATATTAATATATGAAAAATAGGAAAAATAAAGGAACGACATCACCCGAATCATTAAAGTATGAAAAGAATCTGAAATCCGCCACTTTATGCCTTCAATTCCGGATTCAAGTGATGAAGCCTTCTTCTTCAATATATATCCCGCTCTCCTTTTCCTCTTTGTCGGCTTCCAATATAATAAAAATTAGGTTCCTCGTGTTTTTGTCGACTTTTGGTATAAATATCATGCAAAGAATTGTAAACGAAGACTTTCCAAAACAAAATAAGGAAACAGAATTTTTTTGTCGGAATTGAACCATGCGTACACATAGTACATTTTGGTGCATACGTATAGTATCATCAATTTAGTTTCGGAAGTAAAATTTTCCAATCGTGCATACGCACGACCTGTAAGCCTATGCGTACGGACAGTTCAACTATTTTAAGGGCCAATTTGCAATTTGGTCCCTAAACTTTTTGAAGTGGGTGTTTTGGTCCTTTTCCAAAATTTCTTGTCCCATTAGCTTCTCTTCAACTCCGATTGACTCTTGGTGTTCTCAACTCATCATTCTTTGATCCAATTCAACTTTTGGATTATTACATTCTAGTTCCCAAACTTTGCCTTGATGTAATTGAGTCGTTTTTCGTGCTTATTTTCTTTATTCTCGTATCTTCCATTGATTGTAACCTACACACAATATATAAATAGGATTAAGTCATATTCTATCAAATTCTTTAACAAATATTCAATTTTAATGGCATAAATAAGTGTATAAAATACACTTATCAGTGCATGTGGAAGACCTTGGGTTGTAGTCTTTTAGTAAATGGACCTGCTATCATAGAGTTTTGTCCTAATATGATCTATAGCAACTTGACCACTCTGAACTCTTTCTTTAACAACTAGGAATTTAATGTCTATAAATTTAGACTTTCTTGAACTCCTGTTGTTATTTGAATACAAGATTGTTGACTTATTGTCACGAAATAACTTAAGTGGTCCTTCAATGCCATCCTAACTTTGCAACCTAATAATAAAATTTCATAGCCACATTCCTTGATTGCATACCTCATAACATGCTACAAACTTGATTGTCATGATTGAAGAAGCTATGAGTGCCTGTTTAGCACTCTTCTAGGATATAGCTCCTCTAGTATGCAAGAAGACATAGTTCGATGTGGGTCTCCTACTGTCTTGGCATTCGACAAAATCAAAATAACCAGTGATCTCCAACTGTTTGATTTCATGTAAGTGAGCATGTAACCTTTTGTTCTTTATAAATACCATATAACCCATTTTGCTACCTTCCAATGATCAATCCCAAAATTACTTAAATATCTGCCTAGTATTTCTACAATCAATGCTATATCCGGACGTGTCAATACCTGAACATGCATTAAACTCCCTACTATTTATCCATAAACCTTAGATGATTCAATGGTGTTATTGATAGTAATGTCATACTCATTAAATGCTAGTTATATTTAAGAGCAATGCTTAGTTTATTCTCCATACTTATTAAACAAGTTATACAGGCTATTTTTCCTACAATAATATTGGAATGCTTTTTGATTTCATTGAAGTATCGCAAAAATATCGAATGGGGTCCACAAAATTTCGATTTCAGGTATCTCATTATGAAAAGAGCTTGTAAAGTTACTTTTTATGAGTTGATTGCATATTGTGAAGCTCATTCGATTGAGTTTTTGCCTTGAAATGAATTTAATTTGTGTAATCATCAATAGAGATGTCTAATTTCTTACTCTTTTAGTGTTTTGTCACCATTTCGAATTTCAATAACCTTTTTAGTGTGTCACTTGTTTATTTTTCGTCACTTTTTTTTTAGTGTTTGCCACTTTTTTATTTTCTGTCACTTTTTTAATATCTGTCACTTTTTTGAGTTCGTCACTTTTTTCTTTTTTTGTACTTTTTGAATTTTGTGTTTGTCACTTTTTTTTTTTTTTTGTACTTTTTGAATTTTGTCTATTTTTAGTGTTTGTTACTATTTTTATTTTCTATCACTTGTTTGAAATTTATGTCACTATTTGAATGTCTCATTTTTTTTTAATTTACGTAACTTTTCTAAATTATTGTCTCGTCACTTTTTTAAGTATTTGTCACATTCTTGAAATTCCTGTCACTTTTTTGTGTAACAAACACACTTTTTAATAAAAGTGTCATTCTTTGTTATTTTTATTAAAAAAGTAACACAACAAAGTTAAGTGTCACTTTTCGACAGAATTTCATCTTTTAATATAAAAAGTGACACTTAATTTTATACAATATTTTTTACTTCAAAAATATTTTTCATACGATTTTTGTAAAGACATCAAATTTTAAGGATATTTTTGTAAATTGTCCATTTTGATTCAATTTTTCTTCAATTCATTCAACAATTTGTTTTAAATTAGGTTTTCAAATTTTAGTGTTTGCCACTTTTTTATTTTCTGTCACTTTTTTAATATCTGTCACTTTTTTGAGTTCGTCACTTTTTTCTTTTTTTGTACTTTTTGAATTTTGTCTATTTTTAGTGTTTGTTACTATTTTTATTTTCTGTCACTTGTTTGAAATTTATGTCACTATTTGAATGTCTCATTTTTTTTTAATTTACGTAACTTTTCTAAATTATTGTCTCGTCACTTTTTTTAGTATTTGTCACATTCTTGAAATTCCTGTCACTTTTTTGTGTAACAAACACACTTTTTAATAAAAGTGTCATTCTTTGTTATTTTTAATAAAAAAGTAACACAACAAAGTTAAGTGTCACTTTTCGACAGAATTTCATCTTTTAATATAAAAAGTGACACTTAATTTTATACAATATTTTTTATATACAATATTTTTTACTTCAAAAATATTTTTCATACGATTTTTGTAAAGACATCAAATTTTAAGGATATTTTTGTAAATTGCCCATTTTGATTCAATTTTTCTTCAATTCATTCAACAATTTGTTTTACATTAGGTTTTCATAAATAGTATAATTTCTTTACACAACAAAACCACGATAAGCAATAACCGATCAATTTTATTTTATTTTTATGAAAAGCTGTTATGGGATTGAAATTAATACTCACTATAATCCACCGACTAACCGATGTGGGAAATAATAGATTATTATGCATAATCATGAATAGGTTGGCGATATGGGTTGTAGGGAAGACGGTGATATTCCGTTTATCTTTTCTTTTTCTATTTATTTGAACTAATTAAAACTAAAGAGTATAGTGGTAATTTTCATAGGAAAATGATTTTTCAATAGTTAAATTGGTAGAATTCTCGTTGAGGACTTAGAACCTAATAAAAATGACACAGCAGAAATAAATAATGTCACAACAAAACCATCGGCAGACGGCAATATTATCCAATTTTTAATTAAAATTTGTTATGAGATTAAATATAGTAATCCACTAAACTAATCACATGTGGAAACCAAAAAATATTATCCAAAATAATATAGAATAGGTTGGGTGATATGAAGTCAAAGTTGATGGCTGTCTTATTATCAATTTGTGAAAAATCCTATGGAAGGATAAGGAAGTTATCCAATGTACGACACACTTGGGTAGAAATGGTCAAGCTTTTGGTAGGTTTCAGTAGTTGTTTATGATATAATTTTACTTTTATTATATTTTCTGGATCAATTATGAAACAATTGATTATTTGATTTTTAATGTCCTCAACAATTTAATTATTTTTGAAGAAACGAAGATAAAGTCATTAGACATGTTACTAAATTAGGGAACGATACTATTGTTACTTTGGATTTGTATGAATTTGATTAAATATTTTTGAAGAAAAATAAGAAATCTTCATGAAAAATGTGTAGTTGATCATAATTCATTCATATATGTTTAGTGCCTCTATTGCTACTAGAACTAAAATGCTATTTGCAATCTTATAACTGCATTTGTACTTGTTGAAAGATTTCCGTAGAAAATCTTTTTGATTGCTTATGAAGTATTTTAGGTTTAGTTGTCTATGCTTGTTCGAGTTTAAAGAGGACTAGATGGACCATGTAATGTACTTGAAGAGAAACAAGGAGATGAAGATGAAACAGAGCACTATAATGCAGATATGATTAATTGAAATGTAAATGAAGTATATTTTGGGGGGTTTTTTTTGTGGCAAGATTTTCTAGAACACTTAAAAACCTATATATATAGGTTGGATTCTAGAACGATTATATTGTCACCACAATTTTTCATTTGAAACTGTACATTTTAATTGCAATTAAATTTCTCAATCTTTCACTACACCAAAAAAAATCTTTTGCAACGGTCAAAAAACGCTGCCAAAAGCCTTTTGCAGTATTCGAGCATGCGTTGTGGGCATCGATATTGCCGTAGAACTGAAGGATACGACAACGTTCAATGACCATTGCAAAAGGCTTTCAAAAACACTACCTTAAGTTTTTGCAACATTCAATGCACGTTGTTGTTGATTTTTAGCAACATTCATTGGGCTTTGCCATTGTGCTTTTAGCAACATTCACTGGGCGTTGCTATTATTTTTTAGCAATGTTCACGCGCGTTGCCGTTGATCTTTTAGCAACGTTCAACACGTGTTGCCGTTTCCTATCTATCTTTAAAAAAAAAAAAAAAAAAATTACTCATACATTGTTATATCTTTATATATTATTTTACATATATAAAAATCATTTCACAATTGTTAAATTTATTTATCGAATAAAAACGAGTAATAAATTTGTCATCACAAATCCTTCTCTTACACACTTAAAAAAACCAAAGTACTTGTATCAAAGAAAATAAGTTAGCCTATAAATACAACCACAGCTATAAATGAGTAATAAATTTATTGAGTCTAATAAGTTGATTAGTAGCATATAAATTTTCGGTAACTGGAAAAAGATTTCCTAGAATCAACCACAGCTAGCGCTCCAAGTCAAGGAATATACTCCATAAAATTCAAATTAGTACAAGGGAAGGACCACATAGATCTTGCAGCTGTTCTAAGCATTGAAGCACTTTCTCATCTTCTCCAGATGATAGTCTAGATTTCAAGCAAGCGAGAATGATCATGGTGTTTCTGTCATTCCATTCTTCAATAGATTGCCTTAGCGTTTTGTTAGGCCTCAGCATTGAAGTTTCTAGTGGAGTCAAGGTCATGGGACATTAGCGACCATCTTGCTTTTCCAACCACTTCGCTATGGCACTCCTCAAATATGTATGTCCTGAAGGAGTTTCCACAGGATCAACCATTACCTCTTTAGTTATTGGGTAGTAGAAGGACTGGAGAGGTTCTAAAGGCTGATTACCTAAAGATGTTCTCTTCATTTAATACTTCTTTTCTCTATCCTCCAGAGACGATGCTACTTCTGCCCTTTCTAGCAAAGCAATAATTTGATCCATCTGTATGGCTTCAGCCTTGTCTTTCCTCAAATGTAAGTTTTCTATTTCGCTCTTAAATTCTTCAAGCTCCTTTTTCAATGATGCTCAATCAGTTGGAACTCCAACAGCCTTTGCAATAGAGACAAGCAAATTATAGGCATAGGAGCGATCAACATTCCTTTCCTGTGTTCCTGATTCTATTTTTCCCAAAATCTTTTCTTCCGCAATGGCAGCCCTAAATTTATCATTTCTCATGTTATCAACTAGCTGGTCAATATCTTCTCTGGTCCCTAGTGAAATATCTATAGAAGCCAAAGGAATGCAACTCACTGCATGGGTAATCTCTTTGGTAATGTCTTCAATGCTCTTAGCAATTGACCTGGAATTCACAAAAAGATAAAATCTGTTTCTCTCCCTGCAATCCCCAATTAGCTGTTTAGCAACCTTCGTCTCCTGATAAAGAATCTCCACAAAGTTTTCCAAGCCTTTACATTCAACTTTCCTCCACCGTGGCCGCCCTGAGTTGTGGTAACATTGTCATTCTCATAGGTGCTTGGCTTCTTTCTTCCCATCAGAGTATTTTAGTGATATCGATTGATAACTGAGGTCTCAAATACCTATGGACCCTGATTTTCAAATGCTTTAAAAGCCTACAAAATTAGAACTTATAAAAATGCTTCCAAAAATAGATACAAGAACAAATGAATATACATGTTAGGTTGGACACTCAACACCAAGATTTTGAATCAATTTAGAATACAATTTTGGCAACAAAGGCGGTCACAGCATAAATTTCAACTAACCTCAAAATAAATTATTGCGAAGGCCATTAATCAATCCAATAGGAAAGAACTACTACGTTAGTCAAAAGGAAAATTCAAGGTTTTGTTTAGAGAAATTAATCGGACCTAATTGAGTGGAAAATAGATTTACATTAAACCAAACCTAATTAAGTGAATAACCCAACTCAATTGTCAAATATCAATAAGGGGGAAAAATTACTCAATTAATTATTAAGGATCATTAGGGGCAATTAATCAGTCCAACAAGAAAAGTTTAACCAAATCTATATAAATCATACACACAGAGCCAATACTTTCGATGTGGGATTTAAGATTCAAGTCGCATACCTTGCAATGGGAACCGACACAATTCCGTTATTGAGAAATGAATAATCTTATCTAGAACGTGATATTGACTTGGAGCATCTATCAAACCAATTATCCACCTCCGTGTCTGACTCTCTGGATTGGAAATTGGGTATTCATTCCACAACGGAACTTCACCCTCTTATCTAGAACGTGATATTGACTTGGAGCATCTATCAAACCAATTATCCACCTCCGTGTCTGACTCTCTGGATTGGAAATTGGGTACTCATTCCACAACAGAGCTTTACTACCCCCCCCCCCCAAATGGGGTTTAATGAGAGAAGTTGCCCCCACTGGATTTTGGTCCGGGTATATTTTACCGATTACACTTGAGGGCCGGGAAGGGTAAAAACCATGAAAAAAAAAATACTAATAAAAATCAAACTGCTTAAGGAAGATTTCTATCAAGAAAGAACAATTCTGGCTTGAAAAATAAATTCTAAAAAGGCTGGACGAATTTTAGATCGACGTTGTGCAAAATTAAATCGTTCTGATCAATCAAATCGAGTCTGAAATCAATATATAAAGTCCGCTTTTACAAAAAGAAATCCGATAGTACCTTCGAGTCTGGTAATGAAGAAGTTGAGTAGAACTCACTGTGACACGAGATAGATCCTTGTAGAAAATAGCCCCCGATATGAACTCAACTTAAAAGCTCTGCAAACCTCAACAACCTTTTCGAACAACCATGGATGGGGACAATCAAAACTGCCCACTCTGCCCTCATAGGAAAACGTAATCGGAGATAAATAAACCAGTGGAGCCGCCGGAGAAGAGGTCGGCGTTACAGAATACTTAGGCAAAAGACGACGACATAAAAGAGGAAGTGATGGGAGAAGAGTGAGAGGCAGAGACGAGCCAAGAAGGAAACATTAGGGCTAAATATCATTTTGACGAGTTTTTCTTTTTGTTTGGGTTGGGTAATTTAAGCTTTACTTTTAGTAAGGTTCAAATAGATGTTGCTAAAATAGAACTTCTCCCAATGTTCACATTAACGTTGCTAAAAAAAAGGGCCTTTTGCAACGTTTACGTGATTGTTGCTAAAATTGAACTTATTGTAATGTTCATTAGAATGTTGCAAAAAGTAAAACTTATCGTAATGTTCAATGAACGTTGCAAAAAGTGGCATTGGCAATATTCATTTAAAAAATGTTGCTAAAATTCAATAAAGTTAACCAATCGCAACATTCACTTGCTAGAATATTGCCATAACTTCCTTTATAATAATATTCAATTAATGAATGTTGCCTTTTGAATTTTGCAAAAGGGCTTTTTTGTTATAGTGTTTGCTCATTGTAACAATTATTTTTTTAACTTTTTTTCATTGAATTGTTATTTTCAAACATTCATTAATTAGTATGTCAACTCGTCGGTGATGATTCACATCAAAAAATTTCTTGGAGAGCAAAACAAAAAGATGAAGGTCTACGATTTTGAAAAATTACAAGGAAGAAGAGAATTTCAAGTTTGGTGAAAATTGAATTTTCAAGTATCAAGTGATGTACTCAATTTTTTTTATATCATATGTTCTACAAATATCCTCGATTAATTTCACAGTATGCAGACAATATAGCCTTAAGGTGAACTCTTGATTCTACTTATCAAAGAAATGATTCTTCTTGATACTGGGCATTGCTTTTATTCCTATGATTATTACAGTTTACTAGTTGTTCAACTATTGATTGATTTGTGAACTATAATAAGCCGAGATGTGAATTATTAGTTTTGGTAAAAGTTGGTAATTTGACTAAAAGATAGAGATATACTTCTTGATTTACACAACATCTCTTTGCAGCTTTTGAAGTAATAGTGTATTAGGCTTCAGCTATTGAATCAACTATTGTTTTATATTTGTATCATTTTCAAATAACTACTCAATTATTAAGAGTAAACAATATCTTAATTGAGATTTGCCACCATTCTATTCTGGCTGGAAGCAGCATCAGTGTATCTATGAAGCTCCCAATTTATTTTCCTCATATAAAATCTTCTTAACATTTTATCTATGTAGATTGGGATGTGTTAAGCAAGCTTCTAAATTTAGCTCTATAGATCAAGTCTCTTTTCCTTTATCTTTCATAAAGAAATCCTTTAAAACCATAATTTCAACGACTGAAACGTAAGGATATCATATCCTGTTAATATGTTATCTATATATAATATTAGAAATACTACAACGCTCACACAATCTTCTTGTAAACAAAAGGATCTGCTTTGTTGTTGATAAAATCAAACCTTTTGACATTTTTTTTTTCAAATTGGAGATTTCAGCACCAAGAGGCTTGATTTAATCCATATAAGAATTGATCAAACTTGCATACCTTGTAAACATATTTGGATTCAAAAATTTCGAGTCGTGTCATTTACACTTTCTCTTACAAATTCTTGTCAAGGAATACAATTTTAACATTCTTTTGCCATAATTCATATTCATGGTATATAGCTATTACAAAAAAAAAAAAAAAAAAAATCCGAATGGACTTTAGCATGACTATAGGATAGAAGGTTTCATCAAAGCCAAACTCATTGTCTTTGTTTGTTACCTATTTCTTGTCAAGGAATACAATTTTAACATTCTTTTGCCATAATTCATATTCATGGTATATAGCTATTAAAAAAAAAAAAAAAAAAAAAAAATCCGAATGGACTTTAGCATGACTATAGGATAGAAGGTTTCATCAAAGCCAAACTCATTGTCTTTGTTTGTTACCTATTATTATTAGCCTCACTTTATATGTATACAAGTTTCCATCAATGTCGACTTTTTCGTGTAAACCCATTTACAATATATGGGTTCTATCCCATGAGGCTGGTCGATCAAAGTCTAAACTTTGTTCACATACATCAAGTTCATCTCGAATTCCATGGTCTCTTACGATCTCTTTGAGTTAACACTTAACTTTGTTTCTGCATAACTAATAGGTTCATCATCCTCGATTAATAATGCTTGATTAGTAATCATGGATTTGTAATTTCTAGGAGGTTGAATGATCCTACAAGATTTATATGGAGCTGAAGTGTCCTTAGAAGTCCCTATTTCCTAATCAAGAATATGTGCCCTCAGCAGGTGTAGGATCAGACTCAAGTCTATTTACTTGGTCAACCATATCTGTGGATTCTTGAACTTCTCAAAGTTCTATTTTACTCTCATTGTCCTTTCCTAGAATGAATCATTTTTCTAGGAATAAGCTTTGTCCTAAGACGAAGATTTTCTTCTCAATAGAATCATAGAATCGATATCCAATTATCTCTTTTGGATATCCCACAAATAAGTATTTATTGAATTTAAACTCAAACTTATTTGATTAAGTGCGCTTTACATAAGCGTCGCAATCCCAAACTTTAATATGAGAAAAGATGGGCTTTTTGCCTTTCCATAACAAAACTCATATGGAATTTTGTCAACCGACTTAGATCAGACACGATTTAGTGTATAGCATGTTGCAATCAGTGCATGACCCCAAAATGATTTTAGAAGGTTTGTATGGCTTGTTATTAATCGCACTATATTTAATACTATAAGATTTCTCGTTGCGATGCATATATCGAAGTTCACTATGAGAGAATCTCTTTCTCTTTTAGATAATTTAAAATCTTTCCTTTTAGATATTATCCACCTTGGTCTGATCTTAGTCATATTTGGTTTCTACTTTTAACTTGAATCCCTTGAACTTTTCAATAGTTTCATACTTGAATTTCATCAAGTATACATGACCATTTTTTAAAATAATCGTAAGCAAATGTGATGAAAGAAGAGAAACCTCATCTAATTTTAATTAACATAGGTCCATATACATTATTGTGTATTATGCTAGTAATTATGTAGACCTTTTTACTTTCAAGTAAAAGGAGATTTGGTCATTGTGTCTAACAAGCATGATTTGCACTTGTAAAATAATTCAAAATCAATTGATTCCAAATATTTATCTCTATATAATTTTGAAATTGCATTTTCATTTATGTGACCAAGTGTACAATGCCAGATTTACGTGTTATTAAGATTATCACGTTTATGCATCTCAATTTCTATTCACATTATAGAATACTCGTATTCAGAATATAAATATCATTTTATAATTTACTATAACCATTAAAATCTTATCAAGATAAAAAGGAACAACAATTGTCTTTAACATTAACATAGTTCATGTACAAATATAAAATTTATCTAATGTTATGGTAGTGGGTACAAAGTAACATTATTCTAATTCCAATACTAAGCCAAACAACAATGATAATAAGTATGCTCCTATAGGTAATGTAGTAACCTTTGCACATCTTTCACGTACAGGTCAATTTCTTACTTTTATAGTGGTTTATTTCTATTTAGTTTCTACATATTTATATGAATACAATATAGTATCTAATACCCAACAAAACTAATGAAGTAGACATAAACCATGTAATTTTTCTTCCAATTACCTATCATTTCAAAACGATAACAAAGGTAATTAGATTTGATATTGTCTTTCTTCACTTTGACTGTCTTAGCCATCTTGAATGCTTTCCTAAAGTATAATTTAAACTTTTTCTTACAACTCTTAGAGGAATCAATGACTAAAATTTGCGCACTACAATTTCTGATGTTGGGTTTAACAGTCTTAAGCATATTCAATAACTCAATAAGTGTACATTCAAGTTTATTCATATCAAAATTCATAATCAACTATGAATCGCCAGAGATTGCAGGGCAAGTCAATACTTAGTTTATGGTTTATGACTAAATCCAATTGAGACTACTTCTTAATGTCAATTATCTTCAGTACATGAGTATTGACTGAAGTTTCCTCTGACATTTTGCATCATTATGGTTGCTTAGAAGTCTCATATACTTCCACACATAATTATTACAATTCTTTGAAATGAAAAATTATGTGCTAATATCTATACTCTTATGTTGCTTTTATAACTCAGATAATGTAGTTGCAAGCATCATACATGTTGTAGTACTATCACTATCACCATCACCATCTTTATTGTAGTAGCCACCTCTTCCTTAAGTGTCCCTGGAAAGGGCTACTCAAAGATATAACCAATTTTCTAATATTTGAGAATAATTTTCAAATTGCGGTGCCAATCAAGAAAATTTAGTTTAATTGTTGACATCTAATATGCTTCTCAAGTACATATGGTTACTTATTATTCGACAAATGTAAATGGCTAAAAGTAAAAGAATAATATATATAATGCATCAATTAATTTAATATGGTCTTTGCTTACATTAATTATACTCTCTCTATTTAATTCAAATTTATAACTCTTTCGCATAAATATATGGAATCCATACTTGACTCTTAGTGGATTGGGATCCTATTCGTTATATTAACATCTTGAGTGTACTCAACAAATCTTAGTAAAATATTTAGGTAAATACTATGATCAATTGCATCTCTACACAACTCTCATACCATTAAACTAACAACACATTATCTTCATAAATCTTATATATTAGGTTAACAAGCTTCTAGAATTTATCTCCTTGAATGTATTCAACAAAAGATAAATCTTAGTTAAGTCGAAATCGATATTCAGAAAGATCAAATATTTCATAGTGCCAAATATATCCCTAATATGTTAGCCTTGAATGCAATTAATAAGTCGAGATTGCTTTAGGACTCTTATTTTTCGCTATAATGATGGAAGACGAATATATATATGACTTAATATTTTAACAAAGGGTTTTGTATGCAAAGGTCTCATTGTAATAATTGTATATGTTTTATTATACATCTAGCCCTTGTTTGAGCCATATTCTTTAGTAAAAATGCATTTTCAACATTATTTTAATTTATTTCAAACGCACATTATTCATCAATACACTATTCAAAAATTCATTATTTTCCCCAAAATATAGCTCAAACAAGGGCCTCATATACAAATATATATATATATATATATATATATATATATATATATAGTAAATCGGCTTCTAG